TTAAAATGGCATATGAATAAAACCCTTTCATACTCGGTTTTGCACCAAAGCCACAGTAACGGAACTGAGTAACAGAAAGGAGTTGTTTGCTTAACTTTTAATAGAGCGTACCAAACTTTTTTTTAGGATGCTTCAGATGTTTATGTATGCTAATGCAATATAATGTCTCCCACAGAGAGAGGGAACAGATCCAAATATTAGGCCCTGGGGAGGCAGAATGAAATAATATCTCATTAGATAAAAAGCAAGCAGATTATATGAAAAAAGGGAAGGATGTTGATTTTTCTCATTTTAGACACAGCCGAGGGAATGCTATCGTAATATATTTAGTAACATCTGCCTTGCAGTCCTCCATTTTGAAATGTGCGTTTGATAACCTTCAGATTCTAATTCAAAACCTGAAGAAGATTGTCTAACCCTCTCTAAATTCAAAATGTTTTTTCACCGTGTCATGATCCAGCAACAACTAGTTTGTCTGTTCACAATGATGTGAATCACGTGATTCAATCAGCAGAGCTGAATTAAAGAACTGGCTCTCTTTAAGTTCATGAATTAGAATTTTAATTAAATTGGCTACATGCCACAAGAAGTTGAATTGGAATTTAAATTGAAATGACAGAAAGTGGAATTTGCAATGAATCGCATTTCAAAGAAATTTAACTGTCTAAGCCAAGGCATTCTGGGAAATTAAGTGTTCATTCGCATTGGTCCATAAAACTGTCTTTCTATAACACCTATAAAACCTTAAAGGCACAATTTGTACGATTTTTTTTTATTAAAATATCCAAAAACCGATAGAACAGTGTTATATATTTTGCTGGCTTGTGTACTTACATTATCCCAAATGTTTCGAAGAATGTTTAAATCCAGAGAAATAAGCAATTTTAACTAGTGACACGGAGCGTGTCTATAGTGTCATTGTGTAGCCTGCCAATGACGTCATAACCCCTCGATTTCCGAAAACATGGAAACACCAAAGACACTTTAATATGTTGTGCTTTTTATTAGACCAGTGACGACCGCACAGAGTAGCATTATAACAGAACTTTCTAATGTATCTAGTATGATAAAACAGCGCTGATTTTTTCCCCCACATACGCACGACCGGAAGGAGCAGAAAAGGTCGACTGTGGCATAATAAAAGCTCCGCTGCTTTCGAGCCGTGTGTCACGCTCGTTCAGCGGCCTCGTTTCACTTTGACGGCTTTCAGCCTCACCCTGCTTCATTCTACTATGTTAATAAATCATTAGCTCATCTATGAACATGATTTCTGCCCGAGTCCCGCCGGATTGCATCGGCTGTGGGGATGAAGACCACAACTCCCATGATTCCACACTCAGTCACGGCCTCATCAAATTACGCCTTTGTCTATTTGTTTATTTTGAATACGTGCCCTCTAGCTGCGAAAATTACATATTGTGCCTTTAAAATTTCAGATTTTTAAACCTCTTCTTCTTCTTCGTCTTTTTTAAATATATATTAATACTTTTATTCAGCAAGGACGCATCAAACTGATCAGAAGTGAGAGTAAAGAGATTTATAATGTTGCAAAAAAATATATTTAAAAATAAATGCTGTTCTTTTACAATACATTTTTCAATACAGAATGTGAGGACAGAAATCACTAATTCAATCTAAAGTGTGTGCAACAGTGATCAGCTCTGTGGTAAAGCTGTTGGTACATGTGTTTATCAACAAATGATCTTGAGCTCTTAACCCAAAATTTGCAGCGTCAATGGTATGAGAAGAGGAGATGCTGAAACCATTTCACTTGTGCTCTTAATTGTACTTAGCCCATGCTCCTGGTAAACTGTCGATTCGGTTCTAAAAGCAATTGGCATTTGACCTTGTATGTGTCTAATGAGAGTGTTGCTGTGTGTTAGTTCTGTTTATCCTGTTACTCAGCACCTTGTTAAAAGACCACACCACCCTCCCCCCTTTTTGTGCTAAAAGCAAGTCATTGATATGCCTATCGACCATGTTGCTTTCCTAACTTCATCAGAATATCACAATATGGGTAAATTAAATTTTGCCCATATCACCATGTCAGGTGCTATGCGCTTTTTAAAAAACACTATTTTTTAAAAACACTACAATATGAAAAACAGGATATGGTGGAAGGATGCATCAAACTGATCAGAAGTGAGAGTAAAGAGATTTATAATGTTGCAAAAAATATATTTAAAAATAAATGCTGTTCTTTTACACATTTATCAAAAAAGTAACAGGTCTGCACAAAATTTTGTGATGATAATAAGAAATGTTTCTTGAGCACCAAATCAGCATTTTAGAATGATTTCTGAAGGATCATGCAACACTGAAGACTGGAGTAATGGCTGAAGTTTGGGACAATGTGATTTCAGTGTGGCTGGGGCTACTCAGCGGATAAAAAATAAAAATCGATCAAGAAAAAACAATCAACAAAATGTCATGTCAATTGTCACAGCTGATTAGGACAGAAACTCAGGTTTACATAAAAAATCTTGTGCTCATTGCTTGTCATGCCTAATTAGGATATGGTATTATAATTACTTTAACATAAAAAAAATACATCAAAGAAATGTGGCAGAGACATGGCACAGTGATTATGGCACATACTAAAGACATTGAGTGGTGCTCATGTGAAAACTGCAATTTGAGTCTGACCTGCAACATGTCCCAACCCCATTGCCCCTCTCTCCCCCAATAATTTCCTGCTACTCTCAAATATAACTATATTTGATAGAGACTAATGTGAACAAAAACACATTTAAACACACTTAAGCTTAATCAGAGATTATCCTTCCATTTTCTCCTTAAGGGATGAGACTCTCTTCAGCGACTTTCCACACCACTGCACTTGTCTTTTCTCCACCTCCATGTTCATGCACCACCTCACTCCCTCAAGACAGCTCTGCCCCCTCTCTCCATTCCCGGTGTGTGTTACCTAACATGGCAAGGACCAAACACAAACAGAACTATGACACGAGCCTCCACTCACGGTAATTCAGATGCTTTGTTGCACAAGATGTGAAACCACCGGTTACACAATGCACATTAGCGATAAGATGTTTGATGAGTTGCAAAAGTTTACATCCGATCATCTGAGGACGTTCAGGTTGCATTTAGACGTAACATTTATGTCAAGAAAACCACTTCTCTATACACTGTTATTTAGTCTATACACTCTATATCTCTTAGATTAAGACAGGTTGAAAGGATGAGAACCATAACTTAAGGCTACAGTATTCCTTTATAGACCTGCTATGACATTTCAAATCACTCTGATTGCATTTGTGGTTCAATTTATGAATGGTTGAGATTGAAAGTGTGCGCTTACACTGACATTGTGCGCAGCAGGTGCTAAAAGTCTCAACCACTATAATCATACAAATCACTGCAGTTATTGCAGTCTGCACCATTAAACTCCCTTCATTAAATGCTCTTCTGTCTGTGTCTAATGGTTGTCTGGATGAGTAATGCATAGGTGCAGGTGGCTGTGTATGTTTCACGGTGTAATCCAGTCACAGTGTGTATTGTACCCGACACATTAAACCTTAAACATACTCTGCCTAGCTAACTAAGCAGAAGAAGGGACACCTTTTAGACAGAATGGATTTGAAATAGTCCTCCCATAGAGGTACGTGTGTGGGGAACATCCAAGACTCAGTTCCAAGAATAACATGTCTTACTGGTTTAAATTCTGGGCACTAAACCAAGCTCAAAGCTTGATCCAGTTCACCTACATCACAAGTTTAATGTATATCTTGCAAACGAAACCAATTACCTTGCATTCTAGAACATAAATCTGAAATATTCTTGCACACAGTCACCACTTTTCAGTGGATCCAATAAGGACTCTCATAAAAAGTGGCTCACTGTACCATTGTAGTAAAAACATAACCGTAGCAAGAGTCTAGACAGGATGACAAATGTTCTATTTACTAAAGGATAAAAACCTTCCGTGTCACATCATATCCTGCCCACATCCTCCTAGCACTGATCCAATCTCTCCAATAGACAGGAAGCCTCTCACGACACAAAGCTTTCATTTTGTTACAGTAAGTGATAAGAGTGGATATGACTCTTGCTATGTTATTATTATGAGTGATGCAAAACCTTCTTTTAAAGCTGATGCTTTGAACGGCCACACATTTACGAGAAATGACAAGAATAGCAACTCATTTTCTAAATGAATGTTTTAAATAATTAATATGGAGGAGAGTTTATTTTGCATCAACATCAACTACTTAACATCCACTGCAGTTCAATGCCAAAATACATTACATTTTAAAAAGTAGAATATATTTTAATAAATATTATATTTCGTCTTGAACTAGATATTAAGATATTGATATACAAATATAGATAGATAAACACATATATCCATGTAGTTTAACACAAAATCAGAAACAAATTAACATTATACACATACAGTATATACACATTATATGTATTTCATTGGACTATATATTAAGAAATCAATGCAAAATGATTTAAATATATAATAAATATTATGTATATACACAGCATTTTTTCAAATACTTTTGGTTTGACTAGGTTATGTTTGTTTAGGCTATTATGTTGACATTGCCAACAGCCTATAAAATTCATGTCTGCCATTTTAACATAAAATGCCTCAAAATCTATATAGCAGTTTGCAGAGAAAGGGTTAACAGTCTTAACTCGTTCCTGAAAGGAGATTGCAAAGGTTGCAAGAGAGCATCACAATATGTCATGTCACATTGACAGAACTAACCTGTTGTTTCCTCTTCTCTGGCAGTCGACACATCACTCGTCATTAGTTTCTTTTCTCATTAAGATCTAATTTTGGTCATAGCACTATAATAATCACACCTGCAGTGCCATCATTCCTCACTGACCCATAATAACATTTACCCAAACTAATTCAGTGTCATTCATGAAAAAAAACCCAAACAATGTACTACTGAAACCCTCGCCATTCACCCTTCCTCCTGCGATCCGCCACTCTTTACCCGTCATACTCCAGACATGCTTACCAGGTGTGTGCGACGGTGAATCGGCGCCTGTGGCGGCCACCCTTGTTAACCATGAGCTTGCGGAAGAGGCGCGGGGAGCTGCGGGGAGATATTTTTGGGGAGGTGATGCGCTTGTTGCCGGCACCCAGTCTTGGAGGCTCCAGCTCCAAATGCATGTGCTCCTTAAAGGTACGAATGCAGGGGTCCAATTCCGGAGCACTCAGCTCATTGGATGACATGGTGATGCTGCGGTTTGAAACAGTCCTATTTCGCTCTTTCTGAGTCACACTACCAACTATTCCCTCCGTTTCTCTCAGTCAACTAGAGGTTATGCCATGCAGGCTGATGTTTTGTGTGTCAGACAGGAATAAATGTGTGCGCTTGAGCTGCTCTATTCTCTCGCTTCCTCTGTCAGCTTAGGCTTTCGGCAATGCAGTAGAATAATCCTGCCTCGTTCAGTTCCACTGACACACTGAGAGCAGTCCCCGTCAGTGTGGTCACACCTCCTTCCTGTGAGAACAAGAAAAAAAGAAAAAAACACTCTCTCTCTCTCTTTTTCTATAACCAAACCGCTCTCTGTCTTTCTCTTTTTAGGCAAAATTAGAGAAAAAAGACTGTCTTTCTCTCTTATACAGACATAAATGATTTGGATGTCCACTGTTTTTTCTTTTATTTAGATGTCTGTCTTCCACTCAGTCCTCCTGCTCCGTTTTTGCAGCTCCTCAGACTCGCACTTACTTCACTCAGCTCCAGGAAACTCCAGCTTAAATTATTCAACAGTGGGCAAGAGCAGGTCTTCTCTCCCATCAGTGGCTCCTCTCTTCAGGAACTACCAGGCAGAGTTTCTCTTGATGCAGGGAGGAAACCCGGAGGAAGGAAATCGACTGAGCGCACCTAATACTGCTACCCCAGGTGCTGTTTGCTTTGAAAATAAATGGAATAGCTTTGAGATCCTTGGATTTAAAAAAAAAGCCCTAAGAAAATGTGCATAGTGATTGTAAAAGCTCCGCCCCTCCCTGCAACTGATTGGCTGAGCTGTGCTTAGTTTGATGGGTGTCTCTGGCTGAATTCTGATGAGGGCTTCTGCCCTTTCACAGCTCAGTGGCGTTCAAGACACTGATAAAAGAAAAAATCCAAAAGCAATTTAAGCCAAGGATTAGCAGCTTCTGTGGGAAATAAATATAGCTCTGATGTAAATGAAGGTTTAGATACTAAAGTGGCTGGTTTGAAGAGAAAGTAATGGGAGTGAATTGGAAAGAGAAAATGATTTAAATGGAACATTCAGATAGAAAGAAAACAAAAGCAATTTAAATCAGAGAGGAAGAATACAGAAAACATAATATGTGAATTCCTTCAATGTATCTTTAACTGAACATGCTTAACTTCATCAACCACCCATGAAAGTCAATACACAAGCTCCTTTAAACAACATTTCATGTTACCTGTGTTCAGTCAAAAGGCAATAAACACCTAGACACATATACACCAATAAACACCTAATGAAACAAATCGCATAACCGTGATGTAATTTCTGGAGATGAATTGTTGAATACCCTTCAAAGTGCATTTGAACGTGAAACACCCTGTGTGACAGCACCACAGCAGGATTATCTCCGGCTCTCATAGAGACATGCTGAAGAATAGAAGTATGTTAGCCAGCTATCAACCTGCCAGTCAACACCCGCTGGCAGCCAGGACTTCACCATGGAGACGAAGGAGAGGAGGAAGTAATGAGAACAGGAAAAAATGATGAATGAGAGGATAAACAAAAAAGTTGGAACAGATGGTAAAATCTTCTATTTTATAAGCTGTTTTGACGGATATTTCAACACAGAGCACCTATGATATATAACTTAAATTCCCTTTGTTTAGCAAGTAAAGATCTGGGTTTAAAGTGAATTGAGATTCTGATATTCTACTGCATTCACGTTAAACAGGGACATCATAAAAATTCACTTGTCACCTGAGACACTATGATTGAGGTTGTGTATATCGAATGAGATTGTGTATATCGAAAAGTGGAAGGGCCCAATAACTGATCCTTGAGGCACCTCAGTGGCTAGCTGATTAATCTTAAACATCCTCCTCTTCAGGAAGCCTTAGGGCCTGGGTACACTTCATTTTCTGTGTTCTGCTCCATCTAGCGCACAGTTCAGCATATATAAAATAAAGTAATAAAACAAAATAAAATAAAACAATATATAGTATCAGCCATATACGACATGGAGCATGAGTGCTGCTGGACGTGTTTGGAACTCATGCACTACCCAGTGGACCTTTGTTTTCTGCAATCACTCGCACATGCGCTGTTTTATGTTCACAAGTCCATGCAAAGTGTATGTAGACATCAACGGACTTCGCTGATGACGAAAAGTGTTACACGAACATAATGTGAACAAAGGAAGTATACTTTTGGCAGGATCTGTCTGATTCTGTAAAGACGGCAATAACACCGCTTCAGTGCAGTTTTTGCAGTGTAAAGGCAATTGTTGATGTTTAACCTGCTATATTTTTTCCCTCAAGATCTTGCCCCACTGTGGTAAACAGACTCCCACAGAGGGGAATCTGGGGCTCCTATTCTATTTATTGACATATAAACTACCCTGTAGGGAGATAACACCATAGTACAAAACTACAGTGCAAATCTGTAAACAGCATTTTGAGGACCCTGCAGGTGAATCTGTAAGCCCAGGAAGATTCACCCCAAACACTGAGTGCATCAGTTGTGATTTCTGCCTATCATATTAAATAATGTATCAAGCTACAAGGAGACTTCCATTTAGCAAACACTTCCTTATCCAACAGACAGTCCTCTGGGATCAACCTTGAGTAAAGTGGCTTGCTAAATGGTGACCGTTCATGAGTCACTGCTGCTAGGGTTTGAACATATAAACTTTGGGTTACCATACCACATTCACTATTAATCTACTACCACTACTACTATTCTTTGTAGGGGTTTCTACTATTGTGAAATCCAAACCTTGTGTTTTGTGTAATAATGTAAGTCTAGCACCGAGTTCAATAACGAGGAATGTGATCAAGTCACTCTGACTGACCTTTCTGAGTTGTGAACCAATTCACTGATGGAGTCTTAGTGAAGAGGTCTTACGTAACTGAAGGTCTTACATAAAAACATTTCCTTACTGCTGACTGCTGCGATGAGGGAAGTCATATGGCTCCCAATGCTAGCTCATATAGTAAAAAGGATGAGAGATTCTGGGCACCAACGGGGACATTATGAGGAAAAATAGAAAGCTAAGATGAGAGGGAAAACGAGTTTTAGTGACAGAATGAGAATGAGGGCAAACACAACCCCTGCAGACTTAAATTTTAAATCATTTCACAGGATTACAATTTGTGAGAAGCTGTCTCGTAAACGACTCCCAACATTTCTCACCCTGCACAGTGCTGCTAAGTATTTTGTGAATCTGTAAGCCCAGGAAGATTCACCCCAAACACTGAGTGCATCAGTTGTGATTTCTGCCTATCATATTAAATAATGTATCAAGCTACAAGGAGATTAAATTGATCTATTTTTACAGCACCAAAAAGAAAGCTGGATATAGTTACAGCTCTTGCAAATGAAATTTTCTGCCATTTATTCAGCCCAAAACATTTAATATATAGTCACATCGCTTTGAAGTTTTTGTAAACTAATACGCTGTTTAGACATTTTAGATTAACACCCATTTCACACCGCAAGCTTGAGCTTCACGTCAGCATAACTACACCGTCACTGCAGCTGTAGACTCGCAAGAGTATTCACACTGGAAGCATTTGTACAGTGTCACAGCAGCGGCTCCAAAGCTACATATTTCTTTACAAAGACAACTATAAATCTGTTTTTAGAAGTTGGTCAGTTATAAACTAGAAAGTTTTAAAGTCTTAAAAGTTTGTTAACATGGGGATTCACATGTTAACACGGGGACCTGCATGTAAATGGTGAACAACAAAAACAGCGACGATCATGTCGTTTCAGTCATACTTCGATATAGAACGTGCTGTTTTTAAAGTTTTTTTAATAATACACAATACTTTAACCCAAACTGAATAATTAAAACAAGTTTAAATGGGTAAATCTTCTATAAATATTTTTGATTCTTCATTTTCTTTTCTGACATACTCCAATTCTAGTTAAAATACACTAGACATGCTTATTCTGTTCATTTTTAAAACTTTTTGTGTGAAATCATATTTATTTTGTCCATCAAAAGTGTGCTGTCACTTTAATTGAGCGTGAGTGGCACAGCAAAAATAGACTCGGTGGCGAAACCATCGCTTCAGCGCTGTTCACGTGACGCTCCTGCTTGACACTCATGTGCTGCTCCTGCTCCCGGTGTGAATGCACTCATTTGTTAACATGCACGCCGGAAAAAATATGCACTGCTCATGCGCCCATTCACACTTGTGGTGAGAAACAGGCCTAAAGTTTGAAAATCTCCAATTGAGTTGCAGTGTTATAATGTTCACTATTCAAAATCTAACCAACTTAAAGGTGTCATTACAATATTTACAAGTGAACTGCAACTGAGCTTCTTTCTTGTATTCATCTGCATACTGAGTAGTGATTTTCTTTTTCTTTATGCATCTATTTAACCATATATAGCTACTTTTTCACTGCAAAGAGAGCACAAAAGCAGTGTTATGAACTGACAAGACACTGGTAAATTAGCAGCTCTGATGCTGTATTTAATTTACACAGAACCAAAGCAAAAAATGAAATGCAAATCTAGTTTAATTATTGCTGTTGTTACTGTACTACGGCCGGTAACTCCTGGAGTTTCACTGAAATGCAGTTCTTGTATTTTATGGATACGTGGAACAGTCTCTCTGAGCTGTTAGCAAATTGATTTAAATGATTAGAATTAGCACTCCACTCTACGGCAGGAGACATTGTAGTTGACAATGTGGGAAATGCAGGGCAGTTTGATTTGGAGGATTGATATCAGTCCCCAGCCAGCTTCCATTACTTGGTCTCTAAGCGCAAATCGAACCTAGAAAGTCAAAAGCTTCATGCCAAAGTAATCCAACAAAATTGTTTGCATGCACACAATATGTCTGACTATGACCACAGTCCACAGTGCGATCACGTTTTAATGGTACAGTCAGTGAGTGTGTGTGTGTGTGTGTGTGTGTGTGTGTGTGTGTGTGTGTGTGTGTGTGTGTGTGTGTGTGAGAGACCCAGCCATCCTTCATCTTCACTCTTGTCTGATGGCTCCTCTGGCATTTCAGGTGAAGGGTCATATGAAAGGAGATGTCTTAAAATCATCCACTAAGAGCTTTGAAGGACACCATCAATTGACAAAATCAAAAGCCTTAAAGAAAGTTGATTCTAATCTTTCACAAGAAAGGCCATGAGTAATGAGAAATTACACAGACTGGGAAAGAACATACACATACACATACACACAGACAGCGATTTAACTTAGCTGTATAAATGGAAACATTCCATA